ATATTTTTGAAAAAGACAATTCAAAGGTGAACGAAAGGGAATTATCTCCAAATCAAAGCAGAGGCCACTTCAGCCAGAGATTAAAAGAGGGATTAAAATGATTTTTCCAATAATCCATTGCACACTAAAAATTCCTCCGGTAGGCATTGACTTTTTGGTGATCAAACTCTTCAGGGAAGGATTTGACTTTGTTTTTCAGGTCCAGGTTTCTTCAGCATGGGCAGCGCTGACTTCGGCCCGCTGATGGAGATCATAGAGGCGAGAGACGAATGGCTGGACGATGATTTTCCCAGGTAAACATGTTTTCTTTTACGCTTTTGAAAAGTCCTCTTTAGACATTGATGATTTGGTTTTGAATGGTTGAACTGTTACATTTTCTGACTCAAATTTCAACATTTGTTTACATTGTGACATAAAATACATCACATGCCTTTGTAGGATGCATGAAATTTGAAGCAACTGGACATTTGATGCATTAAAGTGTTTATACTGATAAATGATTCCAGTTTGAATTGAATGCAAGAAATTCCCCCAAAAAAGAAAAGATGGTTAATCAAAACAAACTTGTTTGAAGGCTATACTGGGCTCACAGATGGATACAGGCCTTAAAAAGGGAAAAAAGCATAATTTCTTCAGCGAATCATGAGTGAGATGCTGAATGGAGACGGGAGCAGGTGCAGCTCTCTCCTTAAATGGAAACGAGCCACGTCATGTGACGCAGCAAGCTGCCAACAACACAAGCAGCATCACCAGCAAAATGGAGGCAGGTCAGGCTTAGAGGAGCAGCTCCAGCATCACAGGACAGTATGATGCTTTTGAAATATTAAACAGCGTTAGGACCATGAGATTTCACGCTAGCTTGGAGTAAGAACTCGCAGAATCAGAAAGCAGCCAGAAACCTAGTTCGTCTCACGCAGCAGGTAAACGAGAGCAGCTTTGATTGTGCTTTGTTTTGTTTTCTAAAGCATACTAAAATCATCCATTTTATTAGGTTTATGTTGATTAAAATGTTTTTTAATGCTGCATTACTGTTTAATACCAATCACCTATTGGAAAAAAATAGAAATTTGATTTATCTCCACAGGGAATCTAATGTTGTTATAAATAACAGCATACCAAATTTAGGTATGGTGATTCATACATTTATTTGCATATTATAGTATTGTTATGCAACATTATTATGTATTTCTTTAGTATGTTTTGCGTTTTTGATGCTTATAACTGTCTTTCTCAAGTCTTTAGGTTTGTCATTGTCATTTAAAATGTGCGTTTCAGGGGGAAACAATGACAACTGTGAGTTAAATAGACTTTTAGCACAGAAGCAGCAGCTGTGAACCCCGCCGGCTCTGACAACCCCCTATTTATCAGCTGCGTGTGCACCGACCCCAAGGGCCTACTCGCTAATTAGCATATCACAATATGCTCTGGTCTTAAAGAAGCAGTTCGCCCAAGAATTAAAATTTTGTCATTTACTCATCCTCATTTTGTTCCAAAAATGTAGGACTTTCTTTACTTAAAATGCTATTTGCACTTACAAAAATCTGTTGCATTTGAAGTGCATTGAAATATTGTCCTCGCTAGGCCACTTCCTGCGGAGGGTGACATGGACTCCTCCTGCGCCCTGAACGAGGGGAGAACTTGTAAGTGGCTTGGTTTCATACGCAAATGTTCATCTTAAATGAGTAATTTGCATTCGTGTAATGCTCCTTTATCTTTATTGGCTCAGCTCCCCCAAACTCTCTCCTCATTGGTGGAGCCGGAGGGGGCGGAGCTCACCGGAAGCGTCGCACGCTGGTGGCCCCGGATATGAACTTGTCGTTGGACCAGAGCGAAGGGTCCTTGCTCTCCGATGACTTCCTGGATACGCCTGATGATCTGGATATTAACGTGGATGATATTGAGACGC